AGGAAGGTGGATGTCCGTGGGTTCGAGGCTATCCTGGTCTACATAGTGAGTTCTGGGATAAGCCTGCATAGTGAAAGCCTGTCTTGGAAAAAAGAAAAAGAAAAATTCCTGCCCAGCTGAGTGTGGATCCTCCCCTGTTTGCCAACACAGCCTAGATGTCATTTTCTCTATCTGTCCTCTGAACCCTGTTACCGCTAAACTTTGTGTACCTTGAGAATGGGAACTGGGACCTGGCACCCCACCATCCCACCTCGCAAAAATCATTTTTCGATGTAGTTCTCAGAGTTTCCACTAGGTGGGGGGCAAGCATCACATGCAGGGCCATCCTGGCCATGTGCGTGGGGTGGGTGGGATAGAGAGAGGGAGGTTTCCCAGTTGTACCAGGGAAGCACCTACAGGAGTGGGCAGAGGGGTCCTCCAGCCCATTCTGGGGCAGTGGGTCTCAGGAAGGGCTCCTCTAATGTGTCCCGACCTCCCAGGTGATTTTGTTCAGGTCTTCTGATCTGCCATCCTTCTGCCGAGTGCATCTACACCCTCAGCCTTCTCATCTGTAGTGATTTGCGTTTGTCAGAGTGAGCCTCCCTCTGCCACACCTCTGGGCCTTTGCACATGTTATTCTTTCGACCAGGATTGCCTTATTCTCCTGTTACTCCATCAGGCCAATTTATTTCGCATGTTCCAAGAAATCTCCCAGGGCATCGACACTGGCCTCGCTGCCGTGTGTTGAATTGTTTACTGCCATGTCTCCTGGATAGGACCAGCCTAATGGAGAAAACATCAAATGAATGCAAATTGGCCAAACAGGGTGGCAGCTGCCTGTAATTCTAGCATTTGAGAATCAGCAACGGGAGGATTTTTGAGTTCAAGGCCAGCCTGGATTACATAGACCATGTGTATCTCAAAAACAGCAACACCAAAGAGAACTAAACCCATCAAAAGCTACAAACAAAATAACACAAAAAAACAGGTGGATTTGAAATTAACAAATGACTAGGGTGGGGCTTTTATTTGTTTACTTATGTGTATATGTAAATTATTTACGTGTGTGTGTGTGTGTGTGTGTGTATATATATATATACCTGCATGAGTTAATGTGTACATGTGAGTGCGGGTGCCAGAGGGCATTGATCCCTTGAAACTGGAGCTCCAGGGAGTTGTGAGCCTCTAGATATGGATGCTGGGAATCTAACCCAGACCCTCTACAAGAGCAGCAAGCACTCTTAACCACTGAGCCATCTCTCTAGTACCAATTGAGTGCAATCAGCAGTGTGTATAGAGACACTCAGGTCCATATCTATACCCACGGCCTCCCTGGATCACCATGCAACTCTATCAAGTGGACGTGACAGTGGGATGCAGGAGTCTTAAGAGTTCAGACCTAGGGCTGGAGAGATGGCTCAGAGGTTAAGAGCACTGGCTGTTCTTCCAGAGGTCCTGAGTTCAATTCCCAGCAACCACATGGTGGCTCACAACCATCTGTACTGAGACCTGGCGCCCTCCTCTGGCATGCGGGCATACATTGAGGCAGAATGTAGTATACATAATAAATAAATAAATCTTTAAAAAAAAAAAAAGAGTTCAGACCTAGCCTCCACTGCCTCACTGTTTGACCTTGGGTGAGGGTCACAGCCTTCGTTTCCCTTATTTTTGTAACTGGTTATAACCTCACATTGCTGCAGAGCCTCGTGGCGGGGATCAAATTAGATCATGCAAGTGAAACACCCTGCCTCAGTCAATTAGGTGCCCTCCCCCAGCACGAACTTGGAAATAAAATTGCCCTCCAAGTCCTAAGCCAGTAAAATCTACACTTCGCAGAGGAGAAGAGCCAGGTGGGGGAGTGAATGAGGCGAGAGACGGTTTTGTAAATGACTGAAGAGTTTTGTGAACGGTGCATGCTGCAATCAAGGTGACCCCCCTGTAATCTCGGGGAGGCAGGGCGACAGAGGATGTGATTGAAACGGAGAGAGCAGTGGCCTAATCAATTGCATTGTGCTCTATCTGGAGGGAACAGGAGGCGGTACTAAAGTGGGGGTGCCAAGAAGGTTCATCCAGCTGCTCTGGAGGGAGTGCTGGGGAACCTGTAGCCACAGGGAAGCTCTGGTCTGCTGAAGAGCCACAAGGGGCCTGGAGAACTCCAGATGCTTCCTGCTGGGCCTTTACTGAGACCCCACGGGCCACAGACAGCAGGCAGAGCCCCAGGGGGCAGACAGGAATATCCTGGTTCCAGGAAAGGGCTTGGGGGCCGAGCACTAAATTGGGAGCCAGAGACTTGGTCCCAGCCCCTGATCCACAGTTTAGGTGCTGGACACCTTCAAAATTTTCACTTAGGCAGGGCATGATGGCATATGCCTATGGTCCTAGCAGTGGGGAACCTGGGTAACATAGAGAAAGCCTATCTCAAAAGCGGGGGGGGGGGGGGGGGGGGGGGGGGAGTGGTGGTGGCGCATGCCATCAATCCCAGCACCCAGCACTCCGGAGACAGAGGCAGGTGGATCTCTGTGAGTTTGAGGCCAGCCTGGTCTCCAGAGCTAGTTCCAGGACAGGTAGTGCTGTTACACGGAGGAACTCTGTCTCGAGAAACCAAAACCAAAGAAAACAAAAAAGTGTGTGTGGGGGGCACGATTTCCCTCACAGTGCCTCAGTTTATCAGAACAGCCTCCGGTGTCCCTAGGTTATGTGAGGTCGGGATGGCAGCATGCCCTTAGCAGAACACCTGGGCAAATGACAGTGACCAACAGCTGATGTGGACTGAACATTCTACAGCTTAACAAAATTAAAAGCGTGCATAGAACCCCCTAGGCAGCTAGTGGTGGAGGCAGAAGCCAGAGCAGGATCTACAGCTGTGCCCTCACTTGTTCACTCCACGGCCGGCCAGAAGAAAGAAATGCTACCTTCCGGCTTGCACATCAGGCTCCTGGGAATTTGGTTGGTTAGGAGACTGTGGCCTTGAGAAGCCTTGCTACCTGAGAGTTTGTCTGCAGAGCTAAAGCTACCATCTTGTGACAATGTCTCTGAGCAGCCACCTGGATTTTCTCCATCTTCTGATTCTATCCAACAACCCCTGTCCAACAACCCCTGGTACAGACACGGTCACAGGGAACGCTCAGTAGATGCCACCTTGCCCGCTTGCCTTTAGATCCCTCAGTATGGCAGGGGTTTCTAGGGAAACTTTCTGTCAGTAACTAGAGAACACACACATACATGCACATGCATGCATGCACAAACACAAACACACACACACACACACTGATACACACCCTTTCGAAAGCCCAGTGGTAACATTGTGTGGTGAAGAGACCATGGGCTTTGTGTAAAGTCAGCTCTATCACGAGCATCCATGTGATCCAGACATATCATGCAACCCCTGGGCCTTGGTTTTCTTTTTTTTTTTTTTCTTTTTTTCTTTTGGTTTTTCGAGACAGGGTTTCTCTGTGGTTTTTGGAGCCTGTCCTGGAACTAGCTCTTGTAGACCAGGTTGGTTTCGAACTCACAGAGATCCGCCTGCCTCTGCCTCCCAAGTGCTGGGATTAAAGGCATGTGCCACCACCGCCCGGCTGGGCCTTGGTTTTCTTTTCTTTTTTGTTCTTTTGGGACAGGGTTTCTCTGTAGCTTTGGAGCCTGTCCTGGAACTAGCTCTTGTAGACCAGGCTGGCCTCGAACTCAGAGATCCCAGAGATCCACCTGCCTCTGCCTCCCAAGTGCTGGAATTAAAGGCATGCGCCACCACCACCCGGCCAGAGTCAACTCTTAGTAACTGCCTAATGCATCAGTGGCTCCCAGCTCCTGGACTCTTTCTTCCTCTACCCTATGAATAAGTCAGAGGGCCAATAAACATTGCCAGAGAGGTGAGAATCCATACTTCCTGCTCTCCTGGTTTCCTGATAGAGACATGTCAGCTGCCAGGTTCTTTAAGGAGAACTTGAGAGGTGGGACCATTCTTTGCTATTGGATAAGTGTATTAAAGATTATAGCTGGAGCTGGACCATGGTGGCACGTCTTTAATCCCAGCACTTGGGAGGCAGAGGCAGGCAGATCTCTGAGTTTGAGGCCACCCTGGTCTACAGAGCTCCAGAACAGCCAGGGCTACACAGTGAAGCCTGTTTTTAATTCCATGTGAAGCCATTTATCCATCTGAAACAATGTCTCCAAAAAAAAAAAAAAAAATTTGTCCACAACTCCTGATCCAGCTAAAAGGTCCTCCTAGTCACTAGGATAAATAAATAGACTTCCAACAGTTTCCAAAATTTCCCTGGGGTGGGGAAGAACACCTCCATGAGGTCCTCCTATGCCCTGATTTGGATAGCTACAGAGGGTCTTTTTATTCTTCTCCTTGCCTCTGCTGTGGGAAGCCTGAGGCTGTCTGTGGTGGTTTGAATGTAATTGGCTCCCATAAGATTATGGGAATGGCACGATTAGGAGGTGTGGCTTTGTTGGAGTGGGTATGGCCTTGCTGGAGGAAGTGTGTCACTGTGGGGGTGGGCTTTGAGGTTTCTTATGCTCAGGATACCACCCAGTGTCTCAGTCCACTTCCTGTTGCCTGCAAGATATAGGACTCTCAGCTAAACTACTCCAGCACAACTGCCTGCATGCTGCCATGCTCCCTGCCATGATGATAATGGACTGAACCTCTGGAAATGTAAGCAAACCACTCCAATCAAATGTTTTCTTCTATAAGAGTTGCTGTAGTCATGGTGTCTCTTCACAACAATAAAAACCCGAGTCAGACCCTGTCCCAATGGGTGAGGAACTGACCGACATCAGGTAAGGGACTACCTGATTTCTGTGTTTCTCAGTCCATGGTAAACAGACATGTGGATGAGCAGTGAGGCTGTGGGGTGTTCTGAAGCTTCATGCACTGGGTAGCTTGAACTTAGTAGACAAGAGGGAACTCCTCACCACCTGCTCCCCAATAGCTAGTTCACCTCCTGTGGACTACCACCCCTCCCCAAAGATGGCTCAGGGAAGTTTCACGGCTCAGTGTTCGCATCATTATTGTTTACACAGAGAATAAACACACGGCACATTATGCAGAAAGGCGGGAGCCTTCCCCAGCTCTCTCCCTCAGACCTGGGCCTGGACCAGAGCATCCGGTCTACAGGAAGCGAATCAAACAAAGATGTTCCCTGCCCTTGTAACTTGGAGAAATCCAAGAGAACCGAGAGCAGTAATTAAATTCTTCGGGCCTGGACTGGAGCAGGCTGACAGGAGGTAGAAAGCAGGAGTAAGAGATAAGTGAAGGAAGGGAAACACAATTTTATAAATAACTAGACAAAGTGAGTATTTTTAGGAGATGGAAGAAAGAGGCTAACAGCATGTAGGAGCCTAGTGGGGCAGGAAAAATGGTGCCTGGGGTCGGAATACATAAGAGCATCCATTTGCTTCATGCGCAGAGTGAGTGGGGCGCCCTAGATTTTTGCGTGGGGCATAGGTAGGAAGAGAAGAGAGAGTGCTTGGAGCCAGAGAAGGTAAGAGATGAGCTCCCAGCCTCCATTTGCCCCATCTATAAAATGGCTTCACAGCTTCTGACCTTCTTAGACTCTACAGGGTTCAAAACTGGGGGCCCTGGGGCCAGAGAGCCCTGGGGATTGGCAAGGGTAAGTAGTCATTCCCAGAGGGTCACTGACACCCAGCCAGGCTATGTCTGGTCTCCAGGCTGGTACTGTGGTTCTGTGGAGGTAAAATAGTCTTCCAGGAAGGACTGCAGGTACTCAAAGGTGGGTCTCTCCTCCGGATCCAGGCGCCAGGTCTGCTCCATGATGTCATACAGGGATGCTGGGCAGCCTGGAGGGCATGGCATGTGGTAGCCATGCTCTACCTGTTCCAACACTTCCCGGTTGTTCATGCCTGCGGGGTGGAGCTCTGTTAGCCAGGGCAAGGAACAGGGGTGGAGGAGGCTCTTCCCCATGACCGTACCCCCAGCCCCTGCTCACCTGGGTAAGGAACTCGGCCCTTGGTGATCAGTTCAGTGAGCAGGATCCCGAAGGACCACACATCTGACTTGACAGAGAATCTGCCATAGAGGGCAGCCTCTGGCGCGGTCCACTTGATGGGAAACTTGGTCCCTGGAGAGATTGGGGAAGGAAGCAAGGTTAGCGGGGCAGGGGGAGGGGGCATAGAAACCACTAGATTAAAGAGAATGAGGACTTTAGGATTAGGCATTTTGGGGACCCGGACATAGAAGTCTGTGTACAGCAGAAAAGACCTGCTATCTTTGTAGTCAGCACCTACTGCGTGTCTAGTACGGTGCTGGGCATTGCCACACACAGTTCTGCTTCTCACAAGACATTAGAATATCTCTAACCTTTCCTGAGTTCTGAGCACAGTTTCATTTGTCTTTCTTTGGGTTTTATGGGGCTGGGAGTAAATTCAGCCTCACTTCCGCTAAGCAAGCATTCTCCCACTGAGTTACACCCCACCTCCCGCCCCATCCCCTCCTGCCCCAGGCACAGGTACTGTTTTAGGCAATATACCTACATAGTTAACACATTGAGCCCTCACTATCATTGACCTTGTTTCACCAGCGAGGAAAAGAAGATGCCTAGCTCACACAACCAACAAGTGGCTGGGAGTCACACAGGCGCTGTGGCTATAGACCTGACACTGTTATACTCTATTGTCTTCTGTTGAAGATTTCCAGCAGTGCCTGGTACCTACTCAGTAGCTGGTACACACTTACTGACTTATTGCTGTCTAAGTATTGTCATTTTATCAGAAATGGCACACCACAGAAGTTAGGTCACTCATGACTCCTGGTAGCAAATGCTTGAACCGGGACTTGAACTCAGATGACATTTGCTTTACACCAGGATGGGGGTGTCCCCGATTGTCAGGGAAGGGGGAGGGTTTCTGACTTTGCGGGGTATGTGGCAACCTCTTAGAACATTTGATCTCTAGGGAGGTGGGGGGAGGCTGGTCACCTTGGCGGGAGTTGTATTCATTATCTTCTATGAGACGAGCCAGCCCGAAGTCAGCGATCTTGCACACCAGCTGCTCCCCCACCAGGATGTTGGCTGCTCTCAGGTCTCTGTGGAGGTAGTTCATCCGCTCCATGTAGGCCATGCCATCGGCTACCTACGAGGAAGGAGGAAAGGAAGTGGGTGAGAGGCAGGTGCTAACAGACTCACAACACCATCACTGAACCTGAAGGCTGTGAGGGAGTGGCCTGAAAAAGGCACTCTCCTGATGCGACCCCTCCCCCATCCCACACAGCCCAGCTTGAGGAGACACAAGCGCGTCTTCCCGCCTCAGGTCTCAGAGCTCACAAGGTGGGCTAGGCAGCAGCTTTTCGCGTATGGGGTTTATGTTGGATAATAGGATAGAGGTCGGGGAGAGGAAGCCTGCTGGCCCAGTTTACCTGGGCGGCCATGTCCACTAGATGGGGCAGCCTCAAGTTCTGGCCTCCTCGATCCTTTAGGAAATCCAGCAAGCTACCTAGGGAGAAGCAGCCAGAAATCAGCAGCAGGCCTCTGCTCCCAACATGCCTTCTCTACAACGGTCCTGCCCCCATCCTGACAATCTGGCCTCACCAGCCTAACATTCTTGTTTTCTCACCTAGATCGACCCTCCGGTTCTGTCTCCACCTCCGAACCCACCGGCCACGCCCCACTTAGACTCCTCCCCAGGTCCTCCCTTATCCCAGGTCCTTTTCTGCTTTGCTCAATGATTCCACTGGTTGGCAACCACCTCCTGGCCCCGCCCCCATGCTTGCACTCTGGAGGATTTGTGCACCCCAGTCTCTAGCTGGAAGTATACCTACTGTTTCTAGTACTTTCTTCACAGGTGGTGGCCGGGCCCCATCCACCCATACCCACCCACCCACACCCACCCACACCCCGCCTCCTACTCTGCCACTCACCGTGGCACATATACTCTGTCACAATATAAATGGGTTCCTCAGACACCACCGCGTACAGCTGCACCAGCTTGTCATGCCTCAGCAACTTCATGATCTGCGCCTCCTCCAGGAAGGCCTTCGGGGACATGGTGCCGGGCTTCAGGGTCTTCACCGCCACCTTTATGCTGCAGTTCCATGTGCCTGCTCGGTGGCAGCATTTCGTCAAGACTGGTTCTGTGGCAGCCCTACCCCTTGTCCCAGCCCCCAGCCCCTGACTCCTGAGACTTTCCTACCCAGCCACACATCTCCAAAGCAGCCGGTGCCCAGCCTGCGCTCCAGCGTTATGGAGCTACGGCTGATCTCCCAGGCATCCTTGGCCAGGCCCAACGTCTGCGGCTTCATGGTGGTACAGGGTGCCGTGAGCAAGTAGCAGAGACCATCATTGAACTCTGGAGGAAGGGCAGATGGGAGGGGTCACAGACGGAGACTATGATACTCTCCCTGAAATCCTAACACAACCCAGCATCAAACCTCAAACATATAACCAGGCCCGCGGTGGTGGCCCACGCCTTTAGTCCCAGCACTCGGGAGGCAGAGGCAGGAGGATCTCTGGGAGTTTGACCAGCCCGGAATACAGCGCATGGTCCAGGACAGACTCCAAAGCTACAGATAAACTCTGTCTCGAAAACTAACAAAACCAAAACCAAACAAACAAACAAATAACCAGGGCCTAGTGGAGCATGGTGGGTCATGCCTATAGTTCTAGAACTCAGTAGCTGGAGCAAGGAGGATTGTAATTGGTTTGGTGTCAGCCTAGCTACAGTGTTTAAAAACAAAAACAAAACCCCAAAGAAACAAAAGTAGTTGGCCTCCAGCAAGGTCTTTAAGGACTAGGACTAGTTCGGACAGGTCGAAATGGAGTAAGGTAGGTTCTGAGGCAAATGTTCCTGCCCTGGCACTCATGCTGGGACTAACCAGTCGAGACAGAAACACGGGTTGCGATGTTGCCTGGGCTCTATACTTGGGTTTTAGTCCCGAGTGGAGCACCATCGCTTAATCCCACAGCCCAGCCTCCATCCCGTCAGGTCCATGGTGCCTGTCTCTTGTTAAGAATCATTGGCTTCTGCTTGTCTGTGCTGTCATTGACTTCATCTGGGCAATGACAGCAGTTCAGAGGACCTCTCCTTCTGCCTTGTCTCTGGCATCCAAGTAGCATACAACAACCAGACCAGCTTCTGCAACCCAGTGCTAAATGCGGCAATTCTCAACCTGTGGGTCACACCCCTTCAGTGGGGGGGGGCATGGCAGAGCAGACAAAGGACCCTTTCACAGGGGTTGCATATCAGACATCCTGCATATCAGATATCTACATAATGATTCATAACAATAGCAAGCTTACAGTTATGAAGTAGCAACGGGAATAATTTTATGGTTGGGGTCACCATACACGAGGAACTGTATTAAAGGGTCTCAGCCTTAGGAGGGTTGAGAACCATTGGCTTAGAGCCTATGATGGTGACTCTGCCTAGGAAATACGATAAGGCCAGCAAGGTAAGTGAGCAGGTAAAGATGTCTGCTAGCAAACCACCCGCCCACGTTTGATCTCTGAGACCCATACGGTGGAAGGAAAGGGCTGACTTCTGCAAGTTGTCCTCTGCCTTCCACGAAGGGTGTACACACACACACACACACACACACACACACACACAGAACAACAAAGGCCCCACAAAGTTCTCATAGACTGGAGCCAGCAAGATGGCTCAGCAGGCCAGTGTCTGCCGTCAAACTTGATGACCTGAGTTCCATCCCTAGGACCCGATTGGTTGAAGGAGAGAACCATGTTCCACAAGTTGTCCTCCGACCTTCACACCCATGCTCTGGCACGCATCCAGTCATGAGCCTTCCCCCAAATAAATAAAATGTAAGCTTTTTCAAAGTTCCCCCCGGTGCCAGGTGATGGTGGCACACACCTTTAATTCCAGCACTCGGGAGGCAGAAGCAAGTGGATCTCTGTGAGTTCAAGGCTAGCCTGGTCTACAGAGTGAGTTCCAGACTAGTTCACAGAGAAACCCTGTCTCAAAAAACCAAAAAACAAATAAATAAAAATAAAAAAAATAAAAAAGGTTCCCACTGGTTTAGGCCAGGATGCAAGGAACTAGCCAATTAACTACTTAAACATTGGGAGGCACCGCTTTGTCTCCGCTGCCTGGGGCCTTAGTTTCCTTGGAATCCACACTGAGCAGGATCCTGGTCTGGAGACATGCACAGCACACCAGTGCTCTGGGAGAGTGGCCCAACCAGTGCTCTGGGAGAGCATCTCCTTCTCTAGGCATCTGTTTCTCCGTCGCTGCGGCAACGCAGGGCCGCGGGGAGCAGCTCACCCATGTAGTGCCGCACCAGGTCCTGCACGGTTTCAAACTGGGCCCGCGTGGTGATGTAGAAGCCACCCATGTCCAGCTTCCGGATCTTATAATGCTTTACGTGATCCTCTCTCTTCTGGTCCCAATCACGGATGGACAGGGAGAAGGCACCTGTGTGGGCAGGGTCACTTAGTCCTCTGTCCCTCAGACGAAGAGGCCCCAAAGGCAAGGCCCAGAACCCCCTTTACCTCTGCCCCTTAGCCCTGCTCCAAGCGCTGTCCCGCTGACCTTAATGGCTGAGGGCACAGAGTCCCAACGCACCTTTGGTGGTTTCACTTTCCCGGATGAGAAAGGCCCCCTGGGGGTTGCCAGGTGAGAGAAGCTGCCTCTCTGCATCCTTTCTACTGATCTTTCCAAAGTACCACCTGTGAGGAGAGGCAGACAGAATCAGGTGCATTCTCTCTGAACCCCAGTTCATCTTCCTGGGATGTCACCTCGCAAGCCTCAGTTTCCTCACCTGAGAAATGGGCTGTTCGAATCTGCATTGTGGTATAAGAATCACAGAAAAGGGAAATGTAAAAGTGCTTGGCACATGTAGCAGATGCCTAAAATGACCAGAATTATTCTTTCTACCCACGGGTGTCTCTAGTTAAAATCATTAGAATATGTCTGATGCGGTGGTATGATCCTGGCAACCAGACATAGAGGCAGGCCTCTCTTGGTTTGAGATCACCCTGGTCTACACAGCAAGTTCTAGGCCAACCAGGGCCTTCACAGTGAGACCTTATCTTTAAAAAAAAAAAGTGTATAATTCCAGGACTCGGAGGCACAGGCAGGCAGATGTTCCAAACCAGCCAAGGTTACAGAGTGAGACTCTGTCTCAAACAAACAACCAAATTGGTAGAAGCTGGTCACCAATGACCTATGGCCATTGTCACAGGACCCTTAACTCATCTCGCTAGAACTCTCCCCAACCCATTCTACAGAGGAGGAACTCAAGGCTCAGAAGAGAACTGACTTGCTCACTAGGCTAGCTGGTGTGGTTTTGCCTAAAGTCCTCAGGCACACTAGTTCTTTCCCACCACCCCAGGAGACCATTCAGACCCCTCCTCCACCCTAGCCCCAAATGCTTCCCCCCCCCCCCCCATTGATGCTTTCTGTGACTGAACCATAGCCCCGACCCAACCATGGGGGCAGGGCGGGTGGGAACTGAGGAGACCACACACAGGCTCTAGAAGATCTCATCTGATCGCTAAAACGACTGAACCACGTGGGTTCGATAGAAAGGAACAGAGTTTTCAAATCAAGGGAGACAGGAACATCTAGGAACTCCGGCGTGGTCAACCTGTACCTGGGTACTAGGCAAATCTGGGAGACAGGAAGAGCCCTTGGCAAATGGTGTGCCTAGGAGGGCAGACAACAACAAGAAGAAACGACTGAAGGACCCTGCAGCAGACTCATTGCTGGGGTTTTCCAAAGCCCCTTCCACCCACAGTCACGAAGCTGGTAACTTCCTTAAGGGTCAACAAAGTCAGCTCGGAGGAGGATGACATCCTGAGGGTGAGGCACCCTGAGCTTCAAAGCAAGACTTTTAAAATAAAAACCAAACCTTAATAGGCTGGGCATTCTTTTCTTGGTAGGCACAGATCTTGTCCATAAACATACTGCTAATAATGTCGGCGGGAGGCGCCATGTTTAAACTCATAAGACAGACAAGGAAATTGAACTGACTACTTAGTGGTTGAGCAACTTGCCTGAGGCCATGCTGTGACTCCAAAACATTAACCCAAGTGGCCTACTCTCAGGCCTGTGTTCTCAATCAAGACAGGGCATTGAGCACTTTAGACACCAGCATGCTGCCCAACCCATGGGCACAACATACACTCCAACCCCCTGGTCCTTGGCATCTTTACCTCTCCTTCATGCTTCCTGACACTCCCTCCACAATACGGCCTCATCCCACTTATGCTCTGGACTTGTCCATAACCCCCTTGCTCAAGAAACCACACTTACCCCATGAACAACCCCCCAAAACTGTCCATCCATCAACTTCTAAACACACATACTTTCCTCCTTCCTAGAGGAAAGTTCTGACCCTACATTGTTGCTGTGTTTTAAAGATGTATTTATTTTTAATTCTTCATGTGCACCTGCATGTGAGTACCAGTGTCGACGGAGACCAGAAGGGGGCATCAGAATCCCAAAACTGGAGTTAATGAGGCTTGTGAGTCATCATGAGTGTGTTAGAAATGGAACCTTGGTCCTCTGGAAGAGTAGCTGGTGCTCTTAACAGCTGAGCCATCTCTACAGTCCTCTACTTTTGTTTGCTTCTTTGTTTTTTTTGACACAGTTCTCTGTGTAACTGCTCTGGCTGTACTGGAACTCGCTCTGTAGACCAGGCTGGCTTCGAATGCACAGAGATCCGCCTGTCTCTGCCTCCCAAGTGCTGGGATTAAAGAAGTGCGCCACCCCCCCCCCCACCTGCTACTCTTCTTAACAATGAGTATTTCATTTTGTGTATTTATTTTGTGTGTGCACATGAATGTGCACATGTATGCATGCATGCTATAACAGAGGAATGAAGGTCAGAGAAAAATCTGTGCATGTTAGCTTTCTCCTTTCTCCATGCAGGTTCTGGAGATCAAACTCAGATTGTCAGGCTTGACAGCAAGGGCCTTTACCTGCTAAGCCATCTTCTGCACGTTTGGTCCTGGCTTCTCACCTTGCCTTCCCTGAGATCCACATTTTCTCCCCTTTCTGTCCCTCCCTCCTTCCTGGACTCTGCAGTCAGGCTCTGTTTTGTTTTTACTCCTGTGAGACAAGATTCCTTGTGAAGATCACCCCATTGACCCTTGTCAAGGACAAGGGCAGCCTCAGACCCTCTGCTAATTTCAGGAATTTTTCCTCCAGGCCTGGATGTTCTGCATCGGCCTGGCCTGCTTTCCTCACTTCTCCAGGGGCTCTTTCTTCTCCAAGGTGTCACCTCCAGAGCTGGGTCCTGAGGTCCTAGGACCTCTGTCTGTCTGTCTGTCTGTCTGTCTCTCTCTCTCTCCTTCCCTCTTCATCCTACTGACCAGCCTTAACCATCATCTCTATTCAGGTGAGCCCCAGTTCCCACCAGCACAGGTGTGCCGTCTGCCAGCGTTACAGAGAACAAATGACAGATTCTCTATGACAATGAGGAACAGGTGCCCCTCCCTTGGGAATAAAGACCCCCAACTCCCTGTGCATGGCCAGGCGCATGCATCTCATGCACAGCACAGCCCGGTCTCGCTTCTGGCAGTTTCCTTCGCCTGGGTGTTCCTCTCTACAAACCTCAAAGCAACACTCCCCTGTGGAAGCCACCTGTACCTCCACCTGCTCCCCTGTCCTCCCTTTTAGCAACTGGCACCACACTTAACTTGCATCTTCAGAAGCTACTGGATCATCCCCAATTCCTCTCACTCCCCACAGTTCAATCACAAACCAGTCGCCAAGTCCTGAGGACTCCCATTCTGCTTTTGGGTTGGGTTTTTTTGGAGATAGAGTTTCAAGTAGCTCAGGCTATCAGCTAATTCTCTACAAACACTTGGGGTTACAGGCATGTGCCATCATGCCCGGCCCAGTTCTTCAAAGTCTCTTTCTTCCGTCATTTTTTTGTTTGTTTAACATCATGAGGATAGCTTTCTCTTTTTATTGGGGGGGGGGAGTACTGAAGACAGAAGGAATCTAGGGCCCGGCATGTGTTAAGCTACACTCCAGCCCCTTTCTGTCTACTTAATAAAATTAACTTTAAATATTGGTCCCTTGTAAGCCTTTCTCATACTTAATATACAATCTGCCACAGAACAGAGTCCCTTAGTTCTACTAGCCAATTTTTTTAGACTTAATTTAATTTTATGTGTGTGAGTGTTTTGCCTGAATGTATGTCCATCCATGCACCACACACATGCTTGGTACCTGCAGAGGCCAGAAGAGGGTGTCCGATCCCCTGCGACTGGAGCTGTAGTTGTAAAACACCATTCAGATGCTAGAAATTGAATCTGGGTCCAGTGCTCTTAACTGCTGAGCCACCACCTCTCCCGATCCTGTTTTGTTTTTGTGGGCTATTTGTTTTGCTTGAGACAGGATCTCATTTCTTACAGGCTGGCCTCAAACATACTACATTAAGAATGATCTTGAAGCCGGGCGGTGGTGGCGCACGCCTTTAATCCCAGCACTCGGGAGGCAGAGGCAGGCGGATCTCTGTGAGTTCGAGACCAGCCTGGTCTACAAGAGCTAGTTCCAGGACAGGCTCCAAAACCACAGAGAAACCCTGTCTCGAAAAACCAAAAAAAAAAAAAAAAAAAAAAAAAAAAAAAAGAATGATCTTGAATTTCTGGTTCTCCTGCCTTTACTTCTCAAAGCTTGGGATTATAACAAATGCCATCATGGTTGTTTTTGTATGGTGCTGGGAAATCAGGTTCGAGGCCTCATGCCTACTAGACAAACACTCTACCAAGTGAGGTACATCTCCAGTGCCCCAGGTCCACTTTTTAGGTTTTAAAAGATTTATTATCATTATTATTATTTATGTGTCTGTGTGAGAGTTTACTGTGTGTGTGTGTGTGTGTGTGTGTGCAGAAGCCAGAAGAGGGCATCAGATCCCCTAGAACTGGGGGGTTATCCAAGGCTGTAAGTTGCTTGTCTTGGGTGCTGAGAACCAAACTCCAGACCCTGGAAAGATGGCAAGCACTGTTGACCACTGGTCCATCTCTCTAGTTCCCACCGCTTATGGGTTTGAAAACTCACACTCAGGCATCCCTGGGCATCCCTCCTGCTCTTAGAAGTTCTTTTACACTTTTCCTTTGCGTCTACATTCTTGATGCTAAGATAGATAGATAGATAGGTAGATAGATAGATAGATAGATAGATAGATAGATAGATAGAGATAGGCAGATAGGTAGGTAGGTAGATGATAGATTTTGACATGTTACTGTTACAGACAGGCAAGGTAAATACCGGCTGGCACATGGAGTAAAACTTGGGCAGGATATTCATTTTCTCTGCACCTCTGCTTCCTCCTTTTTTTTAAAAATTGAAACAAAGTCTCACTATGTAACTGGCATGGAACTCACTGTGTAGATTAGGCTAACCTCAAACTCAGGGAGATCCACCTGCTTTTCCCTCCCACGTGCTAGGATTAAAGCTGTGGGTCTCCACACCTGGCCAGCTTCCTCATTCGTAGAATAGAGTTTCTAACTTGACCACCCAGAAACTCCTCAGTTACCTTATGGCATTATCTATGGTTACCCTCATCATTGCCATCTTTTTTTTTTTTTCTTTTTTCAAGACAGGGTTTCTCTATGTAGCCCTGGCTGCCCTGGTCCTGAAACTCACTCAGTAGACCAGATTGGCTTTAGACTCAGAGATTCGCCTGCTTCTGTCTCCCAAGCGCTGGGATTAAAGGCGTACGCCACCAGTAACTTTATATATAACATTGCAGATGAGGAGGCAGGATCAGAGTGAGGCGGTCATCCCCTAAGGGATAGCCTTGGCAGGTGGACGTTAGTGACTTCCAGGACAGCCAGGACTGATACACAGAGAAGCCCTATCTCAAAAAACCAAGAGAGAGAGAGAGGGCCTTGGAAGTTAGACACTAGGGTTTTCTCCAAAGGCCTGGCCCCAGTTCCACTCACTCTTCAGCCTGGATGGAATCCACAGGAGCCACGTAGTTGCTGGGGATGTAGCCAGTGCGTCCGGAACTCAAGGACCGAGCCTCCCACCAGTCACTTTCACTGTGGGCACAGAAGGCGGGGTAGTTAGCAGCACTTGGGGGTCCAATCAGGGGCCCTGCCGATCCTCACCTTTGACCCCCTTCCCACTCAGAGAGCTTTGCCTCTCTTCCACCCACTGCAGCTGCCCCGGCTGCTTTCACCTGGAAAGGGGCTTTTTGAGGGGTCCTAGGCTTCTTCCTCTCTTTCTTCCACTGAGCGGATGCTGTCAGGGTTCCCTCCCGACTGGGAACACCCCATGGCTACAGATCTCCTTCGCGATAAAATTCAGGTTTTACAACAGAGGTTTGATGGCCTATGGATTCTGACCTCCTAGTCTTCAACTTCTGCTTTCTAGTCTAAATTTTATTCTTCCCCCTCCCCTCCTCCTCTCCTTCTCTGGGAATCAAACCCAAAGTCTTGCTCTACAGCTGGGAACAGGGTCAAACGGATGGACGCGCTGATCAGTGCCTTGGGGAACTGTGAGACAGGCTCCAGGAAGAAAGGCAGAGGGCTTTTTGCCTCAAGTGCCTTTTGTTCCCTGGATTGTTCTAGAACATAATTTCATGCCTCCTTTGACAAACATTTACTTGTTTCAACACTCTACCACTGAGTCCCAGCCCCTGCCCTGCTGCTCGCCCGCCTTCCCTCCCTCCCTCCATCCCTCCCTCCCTTTTTTCTTTTCTTTGTTTCTTCCTTCCTCCCTTTCTTTTTTTTTCTTTTCCTAACTATTCTGGAACTTTTTCTGTAGCCCAGCCTGGCCTCGAACTCAGAGATTCATCTGCTTCTGCCTTCCTAGTGATGAGATTAAAGGCATATGTCACCACTGCCCAGCGTCTTTTTTTTTTTAAGTTTTTAGATATTATCTGTATTTAGTGTGTGTGTGTGTGTGTGTGTGTGTGTGTGTGTGTGTGTGTATGTAGGCCCAGTCTTCTCCTTCTACCATGTGGGGGTTTAGGGGTCAAAACTCACGTGGTCAGGTTTGGTGGCAGAACCCCTTACCAGCTGAGTTGTCCTCCCAGCCCCGCACCTCATTCAGCAGAATTTACCCACGTGCAACCACTTGGTGTTTTCTAGAAATAATTGTTTAGTCTTATTCCCTCTTTTCTCACCTCTTCCTTCCTTGTCTACTTATTTTTCTAGTCTCCGTTTAAAAAAAAAACAAACCATCTCTAGGAAGCCTGCCTCAATCACCACTACCCCGGGGCCCAAGTTTAGTATTCTGCTTGTACTGCAAGCCCTTCACCTGCGCGGTAGGGAGCAATCCCTTAGTGTTTCCTTGTTATTGTCCTTTGTTTGCGGTGCTTTAGCTGGAACCCAAGACCCACGTGCTAGGCAAGTCCTCTAGCGTGAGCTAGAATCCCAGTCCTCGTCCAAGACTTTTGTTTGTGTGCCCCGTCCCCCCACGCCCAGCAAGCTGGAACTTTCTAAACAAGGATCAGAGTTTACTCCTCTCCAGGGACTCGCTCCCAGCCCAGGCCACGCCCTCAGCTAGGCAGCCCAGTCACCTACAGCCCAGGCCACGCCCTCCCTCTGGGAGCCCACTCACGCGTTGTTCAGGATGTGGAACTTCTCGCCTTTGGTGAAGGTAAGGTCACCCGCTGTCCTGGACTCATAGTCATACATGGCAACGAACATGGTCACTCCCGTCCCTGCAGGATCAGAGGCGCTCAGAAGAGAGTAGAATAGGGAACGAAGGAGGTTTCGTCTGTGGCATCTAGTTCCCCAGCCAGACCCTGCCCTCCCCACCATTACAATGTCTAGGTTCCCAAATGAGTTCAGGGACCGCTGCGATTTCTGATTTGGGTTTCACACCTTGCCCCCTAGGTTCAGAACAAATAATCTCATGCTCTTCTCGCCCTGAATGTTCATAAATTGCTCCTTCTTCCTCTTCCCCAAGAAGACATCTCACTTTCTACAGTGATACTTATGAAGACAGAAGTGTGTGTGTGTGTGTGTGTCTGTCTGTCTGTCTGTCTATGTGTCTAAGACAGAGCCTCTGGCCGGGCGATAGTGGGGCACACCTTTAATCCCAGCACCCAGGAGGCAGAGGCAGACTGATTTCTGTGAGTTCCAGGCCAGCCTCCTGGTCTACAGAGTGAGTTCCAGAACTGGCTTCACAGCTACTAGAAAACCCTGTCCAAAAACCAAAAGCCAACAAGCAAAAAAAAAAAAAAAAAAAAAAAAGACAGAACGAACCCCAGAAACTCATGAATGAAATAATTAATAGCTACTTGCAATTCACACTGGGGCCCCTCTGTGATGAGAAAAGAAAAAACCCAAGGGCTGCTAGGGGTAGATTTGTAGATTTACACATACTGACTTATCTGCCGTGGGCTAGAAAACAGGGCTGCATCTCCAATGAATTCTAGAGTCCCCCCTTCCCTTAGTTTTCCCCAGAACCCAGGCGGCAACTGTCTGCCATCCTAGAGACTCACCTGGGATGTTCCTCGTGTTAACAAGAAAACCCGGGCTGGTGGGCTGAGTAGGGAAGGGCTGTGGTGGCCTGCCAAGGCCTTGAGTGGGGTCAGGGTAATAGCGTTCTTCAGCCCTATGGTTCCTGTCACCCTCTTCCGCATCCTCTTTGGGTGCAGGTTCCAACTTCTTGCAGAACACACAGCCCATTCCAGGTGCCCTGCTGCAGAATGAAGACAGGCCTAATTGAGGGTGGCCTGGCTGGTATACCATTCTAAGCATACATCGGTGTGTGGATGCATGCCCATTCTCACAAATTGGGGTCTTCCTAAGGAAGGGCCACCTTTGGTCTGCCTCCTAGTTGTTTTCTTTCTTTCTTAAATGTATTTATTTTTATTTTATGTGCATTGGTGTTTTGCCTGCCTGTATGTCTGTGCGAGGGTGTCAGATCTTGGAGTTACAGACAGTTGTGAGCTGCCATGTGGTTGCTGGGAATTGAAGCGGGGTCCTGTGGAAAAGCAGCCAGTGCTCTTAACTCCTGAGCCATCTCTCCAGTCTCTGCCAGGGCTCAGGTTTATGCCCTTTTGACTCCCATTGCTTTCATGCATTATGTTTCTTTGATTACTTGTAGTGTTTCTTTTTCCCTGTGTGTCTTTGCGTGTCTTTAAACATGTTTGTCGTGTGTATATGCAGCTCTTGGGGAATGTCTCTATGTGTAGAAGAATGTGCTGGTCTTGGGACATAGCTCAGTTGGTAGAGTGTTTGCCTAGCATGCATGAAGCCTTGGGTCCAATCCCCAGTGCTGCATAGACTTAGTCTGGTGGTATGGTCCTATAATTCCAGCACTTAGGATATGGAAGCAGAAGAATCAGAAATTCAAGGCCATTTTTAGCCACATATCAAGTGTCAGGTGAGCCTGGGATACTCACCTGACTCAAAAAGCACAGTGTGTTCGTGTCTGTACATGTATTTGGCCACATGCGTGCATGTCTATATGAGTTCAGTAGGCAAGTGATTATGTGTGCATCTGTATGTGTGTGTATATGCAGGTCCGTGTGCTTGTGACTGTCTACAGCTCTGTGGAAATGGATGTACCTCTGTGTATGTGTGCGTTTTGTAATAACACATCTGCAAAGCCGCACATGTTCGTGAACGTGTGAGGGCAGCGTGCCTGCACCTGGAGATTCCCTGCAGAGGAGGATCAAGGCCATTTCCTGTCATGAGTCCAGCCTCCAGCCTCTCAAGCTGCCTCATTCTGGCTCCTCTATCTGTTTCCTAGCAACAGGGCCCTTGTAGGAGGAGGGGGCTGTGAGGCGGGTATTGTGGGGCCCAGGAAAGCGACCCCACCCCTGTTCCCTGACCCTGAGAGCCTCAGGACACTTTGCACCCTACTCACCCCACAGGTCCCTACTCCTGGGTCAGTAGGACCAATGCATGGTCCCTGGAAGGTGCTGGAAACCTGAGGGCGAGACAGGAAACGAGAGATGACGAAGGCCTTGCCAGTATTCCCACCAGCCAGCTACCCAGATCCTACCCTCTACAGGAAGCTGGAAGACCTGAGCTCTGTCCCACCATGACTTCTACCTTCGTTTTCTCTCCCTCTGCTCCTGGAACACTTGCATGTCCATCCTCACACAGGACACACTGCCTGTGCCCACTCGTGCACACTCAGTCCCGCCTGAGATGTGGCAAAAAGACACACACAGGCAAGGTCACACACAGGACACACACAAAAAGACACACACAGGCAAGGTCACACAGGCTCACGGCGTATGCTTGAGAGGGTGTCCTTGCCAGCGTCCCTGCACACCATCGCAATCTCAAGTGAGCTCTGAACAATAACACACACGCACATCTGTACCTATACATGTGTGTCTATGTGCACACACATATATGCACATGTGCTTCTGGATGCTTCTCCAGTGAGCGTGTGCCACAATCATAGCTGCCCAGGCTCATCTTTCAAAGGGCAGCACTGTCAAACCGCGCTCGGCTCGCAGGACCTCAGTCACAGCCTCCTAAAAGGAGCCTTTCCCTAGAACCCTGCCTCTGCCCTCAGCCTGGGCAAGACTGAGCAGGCCTGTGTTCTCCACTGGTGTCAGAACCAAAGTGACAGTTACCTGCAGTCCAGGATCAGGGAGAGGTCCCAGTCAGGAGCTGGGACCGCCATAGTCTCTTAAAGAGCTCCTAGAACAAGCCAAACTGTCCCCAGTGGCTATGTCCTCTGGCAACTCCACAGGAAGGGCATTGAGCAAGGGGTCCTCACCCCACCCCATCCCCCCACCCCCACCCCCTGCCAGAAAACTCCACTATTGCAACACTCAGAGAGGAACTGCCTGGGGAGAATGCTGGTTTCCTAAGAAGTGTCAGGGCTTGTAAGGTGGGGCCAGCCTAGGGACAGCCAGGTCCTCCACTGGGAGCCTAAAGGTCACAGCTCCCATCCAGTTCTCCCGTGGTGTCGCCTTCTAGTTAGGCCCTGTTCTTCACAGAACACTCATTTCTTCCAGGAAGCCTTCCTTCTTGGATCTAATAGGTCAGGTGGTTGGTTCAGTTACCTGAGAGTCCTGAACTACATCCTGGCTCCTCTCACCCTTCACCAAAACCATTCTCCTATATGTGTTGAGCTGAAGGGGTAATGCGTTTGTCGTGAGCTGTGAGGCAAGCTATGGCAGGAGACCTGTTCACACACAGCTTCTAGGTACTTAGCTTTGAGATCTTCACCTCAGGATACCCTAACCCCAGGGAGTGAGGGACCAGTATGTCTGAAAGGGCCCAGCATTCCAGGCTGGTTCAGGTAGGGGAGGGAGGTGCGGGGATAGATGTGAAGGGGAGAGAGCCCCCCCCCCCAGTCTAGCTGATGGTATTTCAAGAAGAGAAGAGGTGAGTGATTGGAAGCATCACCCCAGTCCCTGGCATCCATCCTATGGGCGCTAATGGAGTTCTGGGTAGGACTGGCTGGGATGTATACAGCACTCCCCATGAGACTCGGCCCTACCCAGAGCGCTCCTCTGTGGGATACAAAGTTACACAGCCCAGGGGCCCTCAGTTGGAACAATGTTGCCACTTACAATACACCCAAGTGTCTATTGCTAGGGCATATACCCCCTCCCCCGCCCAACAAGGGAACGCCTATAATCTGCCTTCCCCGGGAGGAAGGTTCAAGTAGAATCTCTATCGTCGAGTCCTGGCAGGGTTGACAGTGTAACCAGCAAGCAGAACTGGACAGCCCGCAGGGCTCTGTGTCACCCCAGGTTTTGAGGGGACTGTGGTCCTATGTGGACCTAGCTTTCTGGTGTGAATCCACTGAAGGGCTCAGGCATGGTCACAGGGAGTGTTCAAGGCCCAGCATAGGGCACACTGAATGTGATGGTGTGCACCAGTGGAAAGATGGGCAGAAAGATGCCTCTCAGGGAGAGGCAGAGACTGAGAGGAATAGAGAGACAGAGGCGTGAAGATGAAAAAACAGTGTGGTGTGCTCACAAACTGATTTTCGGGGGGGGGGGGACAGAGGCGGAAAACAACAGCAACAAAAAGCCCCAAGCCCTGATTGGTAGCATTTGCTAATTTCCATGGTGTAAATATTCCCACTGTGGCTTATTTAAAGCTACTGGCGCAACTTCCCGATGGCTCGGCCCGAGAAGGGATGCGGAGAATGAGCTCCCTTGAGTCGGCATCAGTGAGCCAACACATCGCTGCCAGAGAGAACCCAAGACAAGACACGTTAGACAGAAATTCCAGGTAAAGAGTACCAGGAGACCAGCGTAGCAGTGTATCTCCCATAATCCTAGCATCCAGGAGGATGAGGCAGGAAGATAGCAAGATGGAGGCTGGTGTAGGCTAATTAGGACCTTGAGGCCCCAAATCACTGCACTGGGTGGAGGAGTGGGGGGTGGGGGAGTTAGGGGGCAGGGATCTGGGATAGAGGGATTGGGGGAGATAAGGGAGATGATTCAGTTCATAAACTGCTTGCCACACAAGTGTTGAGGGTTTGAGTTCGATCCTTAGCAACCATGTCAAAGCTGGTGGTATATAGCTGAAATCTCAGCATGGGCAAATGAGATGATCCCTGGGACTTGATGGTTAGTTTATTGCTAGGTCCACTGGGAGATCCTGTCTAAAGGGACTGGAGAGATGATGGTTAAAGGCACTGGCTGCTCCTCCAGAGGACTTCAGTTTCAGCACCACATGGTGACTCACAACAGTCTGTGACTCCAGTTCCTGGCACAGGTCACACAAACAGCCATGCAAGACAAAACACCCATACACATATTATAATTATGTTTAGCACTTTTTTTGTTTTGTTTTTTTCGAGGCAGAATTTCTCTGTAGCTTTGGAGCCTATCCTGAAACTTGCTCTGTAGACCAGGCTAGTCTCAAACTTACAGAGATCTGCCTCTCTGCCTCCTGAGTGCTGAGATTAAAGGTATGTGCCATAACTGCCCAGATATTTTTTTTACCACTTTTAAAAACAATTTATTTATTTTAAAATGTGCATTGGTGTTTTGCCTGCATGTATGTGTGTGTGAGGGTGTCAGATCTCCTAGAACTGGAGTTACTGACAGGTGTCAGCTGCCATATGGATGGTGGGAATTGAACCCAGGTCCTCTAGAGAAACAGATAGTTCTCTTAACTGATGAACCATCTCTCCAGCCCCTTATACTATAAATTTTCCCTGCACTAGGTGGTGGTGGTGACCTTTAATCCCAGCACTTGGGAGGGTGAGGCAGGTGGATCTCTGAGTTCAAAGCCAGCCTGGTCTACAAAGCAAGTTCCAGGACAGTCAGGACTGTTACACAGAGAAACTCTGTCTCAAAAAAATCTAAACAAACAAAAAAATAAATAAAATATTTCTAACTTAATTTTTTTTTTTAAGACAGGGTTTCTCTATAGCTTTGGAACCTGTCCTGGAACTAGCTCTTGTAGACCAGGCTGGTCTCGAACTCACAGAGATCCGTCTGCCTCTGCCTCCTGAGTGCTGGGATTAAAAGCATGCGCCACCACCGCCTGGATAAATTAAAAAATTTTAAGCCAGGCAATGGTGGCACACACCCTTAATCCCAACACTTGGATTGTGAGGAGGCAGGAGGATCTCCGTGAGTTCAAATCCAGTCTGGTCTACAAAGGGAGTTTGAGGACAGCCACGGCTACACAGAGAAACCCTGTCTTGAAAAACCAAGCAAAGACATTTAAATTAAAGTAGGGGCCGGGTGGTGGTGGTGCATGCCTTTAATCCCAGCACTCGGGAGGCAGAGGCAGGCGGATCTCTGTGAGTTCGAGACCAGCCTGGTCTACAAGAGCTAGTTCCAGGACAGGCTCCAAAACCACAGAGAAACCCTGTCTCGAAAAACCAAAAAAATAAAATAAATAAATAAATAAATAAATAAAAAATAAAGTACGGAGCAATTTAAGAAGACATCAGCATTGCTCACTGGCCTTTGCGTGCGTGTACAGACACACCCATACCCACACATGACATGTATACACATACCCGCATGACATGTACACTCATACACACATGACATGTACACACATACACACACATGTATACACATACACACATGACATGTACACACATACCCACACACATGACACACACATACACACATGACATGTATACTCATACACACACATGACACACACATACACACAGAGGGGAAGAGAGCCAGAGACAGGAAGAGGGATGGCTCTGTCTACCCAGGCATTGGCCTGAGAACAACCAGAGGTGGCTCCCTCCTTCTCAGTGCCTTCGTACCAAGCACTAACTCTTCAGGGAGTCCCTGGACTCGCCAGGAGTGTGGGTGGCAGAAAGTATTAGTGAAAATGTGCTAATTTATTAAACATTTCCACATGACTGGCATCTTGCCAAGATATCTCTACACGTGCTCTCTTTAATGACCTCCTAGGCAGGCTTTATGTTTTAACCCTTACTGGACTGGGATACTGAGGTGCAGCAGTGTTAAGTACTTGGGAAGTGGAACAGTATCAACCAGTTTGGCCACCCTATGTGCTGTTCTATGCTGTCATCTCTGAAGGAGCAAGGATACTTACCTCTCTGAAGGCCCACTGTGGGCCAACCCTTATCAGGTGTGTCTAAATCCTACTTATGGTACGGAGCAAAAGTGATCTGTTCTCTCTCCCTTTTCTTTTTTTTTTTTCTTAAAAATGATTTGTTTAATTATTGTGTATACAGTGTTCTGTCTGTCTGTATGCTTGCTGGGCAGAAGAGGGCACCAGATCTCATTACAGATGGCTGTGAGCCACCATGTGGTTGCTGGGAATTGAACTCAGGACCTCTGGAAGAGCAGGCAGTGCTCTTAACCTCTGAGCCATCTCTCCAGCCCTCTCCCTTTTCTTCTTGTTTTTATAATTATTTATTGGGGTGTGTGCCTGCGCGCACACGCATGTGCGCGCATGCGTGTGTATGTGTGTGCTCGCGCGGGCACATGTGTGTAGGTCAGAGAACAACTTGTGGGAGTCTGTTCTTCCATGGATCAAGCTCAGATCTGTTCAAGCTCAGATTTGTCAGACTTGTCTGCATTAACTTCTGAGCCATGTTGGATGAAAGACAACATATCTCCTGGCCTTCCTGTCTGTCTTTCCTAGTCGACAGTGAACGTTGACTGCCTGTTAACACCAGAAACAGAGCAGAGTGAGAAGTGGCTGCCAGCAATCTGGACAAGTCAGGGGCTTTGGTTTGTTTATGAATAAGGATGTTAGCTATGTTCTGGCGCTAGGGTTCGAACCCAGGACTTTGTACAAGTCAGTCGCACGCTCTACCGCTAAGCTGAACTCCAGTCCAAGTCAGTCTGGTTGAAAGGAATCAGTTCAAGAGCCCTATCAAGGGTGGAATCAGGTTACGGGTATCACAACGAAGGTCTAACCCTGAACCACAATGCTGCCCACTTCAGTATCTGTTCCTGTGTGCTAAGGCCCTTCTTTCTCTCTCCCTCTCTTGTCTTTTCCCTCTTCCTTCCCTCTCTTCCCTGTCTCCCTCCCTCCCTTCCTGCCTCCCTCCCTCCAAGGCATACAGGATCTCTCTGAGTAACCCTCCTCTTGAACCTGTGATCTTTCTGCCACAGGGCTAGGACTGAGCTCAGCTTCCAGCTCTGTTCTTCCGCAGGCTGTAGCCTTGGATGAAGGAACAGCACGTCTGAGCGTCCCTTTCTCACCTGCGCCCTCTGTGCGGAGCAGCTGGGAGGATTCCGTGAGAAGAGCCTCTAGCTCAGTGTACAGTGGACAAGCCAGGCTGAGAACTGCAGCAGCAGAGAGGCCCCAGGGGCACTTGGTCCACCTGCCTCTTGCATGTACCAGAAAAGCCACATCCCTAAGTTCACACAGGCCAACAGGAGATTCAAACGACTGTGAAAGTCAGTTCGTAGTTCTGTTCCTGGCATTGCAGCTGAGTTTTCCAAAGCACGGGTGGGATCATGCTGTCCCTGGCTGGTAAATGTCACTCTTCCCACATGGCCAATGGCCAACTAAATCTGTCTTCTGACAGTTGATCCCCTACAGGAAGCCCACCTCCCACACGCCCATGTTCCTGGACACAACCCCAAGTTTCTCATCTTTTCCCAGGGGTCATAGTTCCCAAAACCATGTCAAGGTGATGATGTAGGCTTGGGAATCTACAACCTCCTCCAGGTATGAATGAGAATCAGAGACAGGCTGAGGTTCAAATTCTGTCCCTGTGTGACGGCTGACTTAACACACTGGGAAGTCAGTCCATCTCTCTGAGACTTAGGGAGACAGGTCTCTCGCTGCTTTTCCTGCTCATCAGATGCTGCCAGGTCCCCAGACACTCGTCACATAGTGGGTAGGTACCCAGCAAACTTTCTCTCTCTCTCTCTCTCTCTCTCTCTCTCTCTCTCCTTGCCAAGGTCTCTCTGAGGCTGGGGGAGGTGGACAGAGATGCAGGACTGGTCTGGGCTGAGAAAGAGAAGTTCCCAGAGAAGGTGTGGGGGGGACGGGGCGGGGACCAGATGAGCAAGCACAGTAAACCCTGAGGACTTCACCAAAAAGGAACTAAGACTTTGGGCAGTGGCAGGAAACCACCATCCTGCAAGAGTTCCGGTTTCATCTCAGAGCTTGGTGTAGGGGCAGACCTGGGCTGAGGGGAGGCAAATACAATTCTATGGTGTGCAGGCACTGCCATCCCTCACCGCCTTGGAGCTCTGACTGGAGGCTTCCATGGTCCTCGACAGTCCTCCTACTACACCCTGATACTCTACTAGGACCTCAGCTTCTCATTAACTTTCTGTCATTTTACACCATTCTTTCCTGAGACTCATGTCTGGTCCTGACACGTCAGATTCTAGACATGTACATCACTGCATGATCCTAGCTCTTCCCTTCACCTGGTTCTGAGAGCATCATCTGAGTTTTCCTCCCTTGTGATTGGTTCTATCTGGCTGGGCATAGCAGCATGAACCTTTAATCCCAGCACTCAGGAGGCAGAGGCAGGTGGATCTTTGTGAGACCATCCTGGTCTACATGATGAGTTATAGGCCAGTTGGGGTTACACAGTGAGACCCTGTCAGAGATAGATAGAGAGAGAGAGAGAGAGAGAGAGAGAGAGAGAAGCCTGATATAGTGATTCAAGCATTTAATCTCAGCACTCAGGAGGCAGAGACAGGTGAGCCTTTGTGAGCTGAAGGCCACATAGTGAGATTCTGTTTCAAAAAAGAAAAGAAAAAAATAGTTCCATATATCTCAGGAAATTACCATCAGTTTCTAAAACAAGAATTTTTGGATTACCTAGCCTGGAACTTGGGGTTCCCAGCCACAAGTGAGAACTAGAGACTGAGTATAAATTCCAGTGTGATCAGATGGGAAGCCCCCCTTAGTCCTATGCGAGTAGAATGGGGACAGCCTGCCCTCTTCTGCCGTGGACCAACCTAAGGTGCTGTGTGGAAGGGATTTTGGCTCCTCCTTCCTTCCTCAGCTCTGGAGTACCTGACCCACCCTGCCAGGGTTGGTCCCTTCCTAGTCACTTCAGCCTGGGGGTGGGGGCTGCAGGAAAGGTCCAGAACACCCACAAATAAGCACCCAGGCTTGAACACATTCACTTCAAGCCCACAGGACACTGGGGGAGCACTGGGGAGCACTCTCACGGCCTCGTTCACACTAGGGAGCAGGAGCTGCCTATGCAGCCATGAGCTCTACTCCATTCTCATTCTCTCTCTCTCTCTCTCTCTCTCTCTCTCTCTCCCGCATACACTTAACTAAGAAAGATGGTAGATTCAGGCCCTCAACTTGGCTACCTCCTTTGCCATTTCTAGATTCTAGGACTTCTACCCCCTAACCTAATCCATCCATCCACAGATGGAAAGACCACACAGCATCAAGTTCTAGACTACGACATGCTTGTCGAGTATGGCCACCTGGGAGGGAGTGTGGGGTACAGATCTGAGCCATTCCAACCGCCTCAGAATGAGCCCTCCACAGATTCAGAGACATTTAGCAGATGCCAATTGTGTGCTGGTCCCCAAAAGCCCTATCAGTGAAGCTTTCTGGTCCTCCATCCACCCCACCCCCCAGTCCTACCCCAAGACAGGGGTTTTTTATGTAAACAGCCTTGGCTGTCCTGGAACTCACTCTGTAGATCAGGCTGGCCTTGAACTCACAGAGATCCTCCTGCCTCTGCCTCCCAAGTGTTGGCATTAAGTCAGTGCCACCACCGCCCAGGGGTCCTCCATGTTTTGAGAAGGCAAAGAACTTACTATGTAGTGCGAGCTGGCCTGGATCTCAGAGATTCACCTGCCTCCACCTCCAATGTCTCCTCTCCTTCCGTCCCCTCCCTTTCTGTCCCCTCCCCTCCCCTTCCCTCCTCTTCTCTCCTCCACTCCCCTTCTCTCTCCTTTTCTTCCCCCCCCTTCCCCTCCCCTCCCCTTCAGTCTCTGTCCCTCCACCTCTTTCTTCTACTTATGTAGCTCAAGTTAGGCTCAAACTCGTGACAGCCTTCCTATCTTGGTTTTCTGAGTGCTGGGATTATTGCAGGCATGTGCCACTGCACATTGCTTTGGCCTGGGGGAGGGCTAGTTTCTCCCCAAAGTTCCAGTGAGGAAAACAAGAATCCAGAGAAGCCTCCTAACTCTCCTGTGGTCTACATAGCCATTAAGGGACCATTCTTGCCATTCCTGTCTCAGGCCTCTGAGACAGCAAATCCCTCAACACCAGGCGGCATCCTCTCACTCCGTTGTGCAACACACCGTGACCAAGGACTAAAAATGGGACGAAGGCAAGGACCAAAGGTGGCTTGCCAGCCATGAGCCTCTAGAGGCCTAGGGCCAACTGGCTTCACTGCCCTGTGTTGCCATGGAAACAGCCCCTGCGGGCATTCGCGGTCAAAAGCAGGATTTCCGTCGGGGCTGCCAGCAATTCCCGGATCCCCACAGCGACGCAGACCCACACCACTACCGCGGATAGGCCGGAGAGGCACCCAGGGAGGTCTGTCGGTGCCCAGGGTGAGGACTTCCCCAGGAAACCCGGACCCACGCCTCCAGCGTCTAGAAGGAATCCCCAGGGCGTCCGGAACCCGCCCCCCCCCCAGTGATGCAGCAAGAGGGTCTGGGGCTGCAGATGCTCCCCTTCCCCTGACCTCTGCGGAATCCACATAGCGGCCACTCCCCCCGCCACCCCGAGACCCCAGAATTGTACTCTGGACTGTGCATTCTGCAGAAACCACTCTCTTTGACCTCCTTCTCGGAACTGAAAGACCAGGTCCCTTCAGTATCCCCCATCCTCTTAGTATTCCCACCTACAACTACCCCCCTCCCAAACCCCTCAACTTCTCATTTTCTCACCCTCAAAGCCTCCAGACTTCTTTGGAGAAGCCCACAGCGCCTTCCCGCGACTCCTTCAGCCCGCTTCTCAAATTCTATCAATTTCACCCCTTAAGTTTCCTCCACTTCCCGCTTTAGGCTTTTGGGAGGAAGTTTTGACCTGACTTCCCCATACTCCCTCAGCCTTCTCCCCAAGTTTTATCAGTCTTGCCCAAGTTTCTTCCTTAGTTTTCCTCAATTCTTTTTCTGGGTGGGGTCTCCTCTCTCAACTTGCTCTGCTCTCAAAGTTCAGGTTTACCTCCAAATCTTCCCTCCCGGGTGAGGGCGGGTGGGAGGGGGCGGGGAAACACCTGCCCTGCCTGCCCCCACCTGGTTTGACCGCCTACCTGGTCCCAGGGGAGCCAGCTGCCGATGACCCGATCTGGGGCAAGCCAACCCTAGCCCACAGCAGCCAGGAGGGTCGACGTAGGGGAGAAGTTGGGGTGCTGCCCGCTTCTGTCCCTACCACCTACTCTGGGCAGGGAGGAGGAAGCCGCTTCGGACTTCTCTTATTTTGGTGACTGCGGAGGAGGCGGCGGCAGGAGAATTCACAGTCACGCCTCAGCCCCAAGCCAGCTGCCCAAAGCCAGGAGGGGCCCCCCAGATCCCAGGTTCACTGGCTCCCACTTTCCCCCTTTCAAGGTTGCCGCGGATGGGCTCTCACGTTCCTGTCCCTGCACCCCAACTCCTTCCCAAAGGTTCCGTCCGAAGGGACAGGCTCCTCATCCCGAGGCACCTGCTCCTTCGGAGCCACTAGAATGAGAAACAGATCTTGGCCATCGCTGAGGTCCCTGCTACCCACTCATCTTCCAGGTGGGAAAGCCCAGAGCCAGGCCAAGCCAGTCTGGCCCAAGTTCACAGAGTCTGTTACCCTTACACTGCTGTCACCAGATCCACTGTGCATCTTGTCACCTGCCACCATATTCTGCTACCCTATCTTTAGGGATTGGGTACAGGCGGATGCCGATAGAGTTGGAGAATCAGCTCACATCAGGCCACAGCCACACAGAAGTTTTAGGAAAAAGGAACAGACCTTAATCATAGTGTCTTTTATATCTAGGGACCCCTCTCTAAACCCTCCCAAACTTGATGTTCCTCACCTCCAAGTATTACCTCTTCAGTCATAAACCAAAATCCAGGGAAAACCCAGGAAAGCCCCATCTGGGGGGAGAGAGATGGTAGGAAGGGTTGGAGAGCTATGTGGTGGGAATGATAGATGCCTTGAGGCACCGAGGGTGCCCAGAGGGGTGTGGGGGCTATGTTGATGGTAGGCATTGGCATGATGACCAGTTTCAGAATCAACAACTAGGGAACATCAGGTATGTTTCTATGGCTAGGCAGGGGTGTGTGGGACTGTGTGTGAGCAAGTAGAAGCTCAGGAGTCTCACGGTGTGACCGGTGACAGCAAGGGATGGCTGCAGATCAGAAGGCTTCTCTGGCTGGGGTGTGGTGGATTCTGAGTTCAAGGCCAGCCTGAGCTACAAAATGAGTTCAAGGATAACCAGATTTACAGAGTAACCCTGTCTTGGGGTTAAAAAAAAGGAATGATTCTCTCAGAAAAATATGAGGTGGGGCGAAGGGGAGGAAGGGAAAGGAGAGCTGGCGGAGGTTCAGGGACTTGGGAGAGTGGCTTCATCCTGCCTGAGTAGCAGGAGCACCATTACAGAGCACCTTCGGAGTTGGCTTTGGTCATTGGTCCATGTGTTCAATTAACAAATAAATGTTTAGCGTGGCCCATGGGATTCCAGCCATAGGGAGCCCAGATACAAAAGGGACAGTCACACCAGCTGAGTAGCACTCCAGCTACTCAAGAGGACCACTCGAGTCCTGTAGGGTGGAGACCAGCCAGAGCACAGCTGGCCTCTCTACCTCCAGGGAGGGGGTGGGAAAAGAGGGAGGACAGAGAGAGTGAGAGAGAGAAGGAGGCAGGGGAGACAGGACAGGAGAAGGCAGAGAATAGGGGAGAAGGGAAGAGAAGACAAGAGAGGAGGGGAGAAAAAGACAAGGGAAGATGAGAGGTACAATTTGGAAGGGAAATAAGGAGAAAGGAGAGAGAAAGGGGAGGAAAAGATAGGAGGGAGAAGAGAGATAAGGGGGAAAAAAGAGAGACACACGCTAATTTTGGGGGAAATCTTCCAGCTATCAAGATTCCTCTGTAATTCTTCTGAATCCAGCTCCTGGTTGTCCCCTAGGGGCCTCTCCTGATGTTCACCCCCTTCCCACAGAGCACTCCTAACTCTTGGCTGGAGCACTCTTCCCTCTACTGGTCTGGAACTGGCTCCTTCCAGGTGTTTACTGTGCATGCTCCCTCCTCAGAGATGCCTTCCTGACCACAGACTTCTGGCCCATGCTACCTGGTAGACAGACTACCTCTTCCTCCATCTGTTTCCCTCAGACAAGCTGTTGGGCTTGCTTTCTGCACCTCATTTCCTCATCTGTAAAACAAAAGTCACAGTAGACCCCACTTCACAGAAAACCTTGGGAGAAATCTGATAGCTGTCACACCAAGTGTGTGTCACACGGTCAATGCTGTGCCTGCTATCATTCCTTCACTTATCCCTTCAGTCAGACTTCAAATGCTTGAGTCGCGCTCCGTGCTGGGCTAGGGCTCTGGGGTGGAATCTACCACAGTCTTTATTTATTTATTTATTTATTTATTTATTTATTTATTTAGGATTTATGCCTCCTCCCCGCAACCGCTTCCCATTTCCCTCCCCCTCCCCCTATCAATCTACCACAGTCTTATAGCATAGAACAAAGCTCGGGTCCAAGAAGCCTCAGGATGAGTCTGTTGCGGTTGCTACTTCTCCCATCAAGTCTGAGTCCCTCACCGCCCTATGTTCATGTTCTTTAAAAACATTTCCAAAAGCTGATACCAAAAGCAAAAGTCAAAGCCAGCCTGCCTGCCTCCTGTCCTTCATCTCCTGTTGCTACTTCCGTTTTTTAGTCAGCTTGGGTTCCCTGTCATTGGTCCTGTTGTGGCAATTTCTTTTTCTTTTCTTTTCTTTCTTTTTTTTTTTCTTTTTCTTTTTGGTTTTCCAAGACAGGGTTTCCCTGCGTAGCTTTGGAGCCTGTCCTGGAACTTGCTCTATAGTCCAGGCTGGCATTGAACTCACAGAGATCCGCCTGCCTCTGCCTTCCTAAAGGTGTGCGCCACCACCACTCAGCACATGGATGATTTGTTTGTGCCTTAACAAAAAAAGCTAGCTTGAAGATCAGAGTGTGGAGCTAGCCACACTAGTAAGCACTAGTAAGCAGAGGTCAGGCAGTGGTGACTCATACTTTTAATCTCTGAGTTCAAGGCCACCCTGGGCTACCTGAGAAGGAATCAGTCTAAAAGAGAAATAGAGCCAGGAGGTGGTAGCCCACACCTTTAATCCCAGCACCAGGGAGGTGGAGAGTGGAAGGGATGTGGCCAGGCAGAGAGAAGAATCTAAGGCAGGAGGAGACAGGATTCAGGATTCAGTCTGAGGATACCCTATTTGGTCTGAGAATTTCACAGAGGTAAGAACTAGGGGCTGAGCCGGGCGGTGGTGGCGCACACCTTTAATCCCAGCACAGCCAGGCAGAGGCAGGCGGATCTCTGTGAGTTCGAGACCAAGAGCTAGTTCCAGGACAGGCTCCAAAACCACAGAGAAACCCTGTCTCGAAAAAAACAAACAAAAAAAGAAGTAGGGGCTGGCTGCTCTGCTTCTCTGATCTTTCAGCTTTCACCCCCCTAATATCCGACTCAGGGTTTTAATTATGAAAACCAATTAGAATTCATGCTACATTCTTTAGTCCTCTTGGCAAAGTCCCGAAGATCCAGGGCTTGCCTTGAGGCCCATCCTACAAGGACCCAAGCACCCACCTTCCCTGAGGAGGAGGAGAAGCCACAGACTATAAGACCAGGGCCATGACTGCATGACTCCAGGAGGAAGCTACGTGGGCCTGGCCAGAGAGACATCATAAAGCCAACTTGCACTACACTTAACCTCCCGGGGGCTCAGACCTTCTATATGCCTTCTCCTGCACCAACCATCTCTCCCCGTCACAGACCTAACCTCTCAGGCTAGATAGAAACATGTTCGAGAATCTGTTTCCCAAGGGAAACCTAAAGTCATACTTATTTGGTTTTTTTATTACTATATATCTATTTTTTGCACCAGTGCACAAATGTGATGTGTGTGTGTGTGTGTGTGTGTGTGTGTGTGTGTGTGTGTGTGTAAGTCACTCTTAAGAGAATCACTTCTCTACTTCACCATGTGGGTTCCAGGGATTGGATCCAGGTGTCAGGCTTGGCCTCAAATGCCTTTATCTTCCAAGTCACCTCTGACCTCTTGGGTTCCTGTTTATTTATTTGTAGCAGGGGAGGGTGCGAGTATGAAGGTCAGAGGGCTACTTTATATTGTTGTTTTTCTTTTTCTTTTTTGAAAATTTATTTATCTATTTATTATGTATACCGTGTTCTGCCTGCGGGACATACAGAGCTCATTACCGATGGCTGTGAGCCACCATGCAATTGCTGGGAATTAAACTCGGGACCTCTGGAAGAGCAGCCAGTGTTCTTAACCTCTGAGCCATCTCTTCAGCCCCATAGTTGATTTCCAAGACAGGGTTTCTCTGTGTAGCTCTGGCTACTCTGGAACTTGCTCTGTAGACCAGACTGGCCTCGAACTCAGAGATCCTCCCAAATGCTGGGATTAAAGGTGTGTACCACCACTGCCTGGCTGTATATTCTGGATACAAGCCTCTTTATCCCCCCCTGTCTTTTTGAGACAGGGTTTCTCCATGTAGTGTAGCCCTGGCTGTACTAGAACTCTCTATGGAGTACAGGCTGGCCATAAATTCAGAGATCCATCTCTGCCTCCCTAGTGCTGGGATTAAAGGTGTGTGCCACCACCTCCTGCCAGAGGGAAACTTTTAAGAGTTGGTTCTCGACTTCTAGCATGGGGGGGAATCCCTGAAATGGGACTCAGATTGTCAAACCTGGCCACAAAGTGGCATGCCACAGAGTCATCTTGCTGGCCCATTCTCTAACTTTTATGTCGTATTTTATTGAGGAACCATGGTCTGTTTTCTTTTTTTTGGAGAAAAATACCGTGGCGGTGTGAGCCTAGGCCAGGACACTGACTGTCAAGAGGCCCAAAGAAGCTGTAGCATGAACCGTACCTGGAGACTCCGTATTTGGAGGCTGCCCAATCTCCAGAATGTTTTTTGTTGTTTAAGAAAAAATAGAGCCGGGCGGTGGTGGCGCACGCCTTTAATCCCAGCACTCGGGAGGCAGAGGCAGGCGGATCTCTGTGAGTTCGAGGCCAGCCTGGTCTACAAGAGCTAGTTCCAGGACAGGAACCAAAAGCTACGGAGAAACCCTGTCTCGAAAAAAAAAAAATAGAAAAGAATAAAAGAGTCATGCAGTGGTGGCGCATGCCTTTAATCCCCGCACTTGGGAGTGGGAGGCAGAGACAGGCAGAT